TTATTTTCATTAAAAAAGAAAATTGCTACATGTGAAACAACTTACAAACAGAATAAGATTTATCACTTGTCATATTTTATGTGCTTGAATGTTGCCAATGCTATCAATTTTAAACATAAGTTGAGACATTAAAGAAAATAAAATAATTAAAAAGAAAAAGTGATATATGCTCTTTTTATATCCAAATAAACTAGTTTCGAGCCATGGCCCAAGTTTTAAGTGTCAAGCCCGTTTGATGATGGGAAAAAGAAGAATTGGGCGGCATGACCTTGTGATTCTTGCTAAGCCGAAACCAAATCCACTAATATTTTCCTTTCTATTAGAAATACTTTATTAGATGTTTTCCAAAATTCGTAAAATGCCTATATATACGAAACAAAGTAGAAATTCTGTGTATAAACAAGGGAAGACATTAGAAATGGAGGGGCAAAAAAGAAAAAAAAAAAAAGAGAGTCAAGAAGCACATGCATGGGGCTTTCAGAGCTTACTGGTCATAATTCAAAAGATTTTATCAGCTTAATTATTGGTTCTTTCTAAAAGCTATGTTTGATATTTTGACCAAGAATCGTGTTAGGAATCTACCCCAAATCTAATTTCCTTTAAACATCCTTTTTCCAAACCATTATTTTTTCTTTTCATTTACATTGCAACTTTCCTTTTTACATTGGGCCAAAATAGTTTGAAAAACCAAAAAAACCAGTCAAAGAAGAAATTTCCTGGCCCCATAGTAGGTTCCAACTTACATGACGGTGATATCATTCCTGTCCTAATACTAAATCCATGCCATGATTTAGTGTTTTGAATTGTCTAACCTCAATTCTCACCCATTTAACTATTTCGATTACCAGAAAACAAAGCTGAAAAAGCTAAAAAGATTACGGGGACCCATCAAAGATAATTGGATAAATAGAAAGCGTTTCAGGCGTGAATTCCTGATTAGATCTGATTGAAACTATCTATTAAGACTACAGAACCATAAAAGGTCTTAGTCGAAGGTTTGACAAACTGCCTTATCAAGTTTTCTTTCTTTTGTTTACACTATTTTTTTTTTTTTTGTTTAATTATCTTTTAATGGGGGGATTGTCGTCCTTTTGGGGCCATCCTAATGTTATTCATATGTGATTTGGTTTCCCTTTGGATAATGGCTTTGATAAATATGAAACATGGCAACGCCACAGTTCCCTACCAGTCTTCTCGCTGTCATGTGCTTGATGGGGTCAGCTTGTTGAACTAAATTTTACAGGGACCCCATATTCATGACTTGATTTGGAATGTTCACATGCCATGCTGATCTCTATTTGATTTTGATTTTCTCATTTCCTCAGTGCATGTTTTCCATTCTTAATGCAAGAAAAATTGGGTTAAGTTTGAACGACTGAGTTAGCTTCTCTGATTAACTTCTTTTACGGTTTATGTGGAACATGAAAATTTCATTGACAGTTGACACAAACACTCCTGCCCATATTGAATGTGATATAATTGTAAAGAATATATTTAGACAAAGAAAAATTATAGCACTATCATGATTAAATTTTGAAAATTTATCAATTTGAGACAAAAATGCAGCCGACATCATAGAACAACATGTGATACAAGGTCTACAAAAAGCTTATTAATGAATTACATGACCAAAAGATACATTTTCTCTGGCAGCTAACATGTGATTTTTCAAGGTTTTACAGCTTTCAAGCTCGAAACACAGTTAAGAAACGGGAAACACAAATTTAACAGTCTTGTAAAATTGTCCACATAGCTTCCATTTTCAAACGACGACAGCTTTCAGTCTGTAATCTTCTACAACAATCATACGTGTATATAATTGAAAAATGGCTAGTCATCATGTGTTTTTTTTCTTTATGGTGTCCTTAATTCCCTTTGATAGTAAGAGAAATGACCCCTTGAAAGTGCCCAAAAAGGAAGAGATAGTCCTCAAAAGATACCTTATTACATCAACAACAAAGGATTTTATTTTATTTTTTTTAGTTGGGAAAACAGTAGTAATCTTTTTGCTGTGAAAACCAATGACTACCAATAAAAAACATGGGCCAAACTTACGTATTCCAATCATCTCTTGTTTAAGATTCGCCACTTATTTTAGAAAAGAAGTCATAGAATGATAATAGAAAAAGAAATTACATGTATTTATATTTAAATTCCAAATTTATTAAATGTTATCATGATTGCATGAATTAATTAAATTTCGGATTTAAGATATGCCACTATAGTTTTAAGTATAATTTTTTTAGTTAAAACGATTGTAAATTTACAAAATAAGTAAGTTTGAAAGAGAACACAATGGAAATAGATACCTGCCGACGAACTTACTACATTTAAAATAGTTAGATGGAGCCTTTCAAAAGCAAATCCCTTCATGTCTTGAAGAAAGGAAACAAACCACATGTTGTTGATATCATTGGGTTTTGATTTCTCATCTCTAGAGTTAATTTAAGTAAGAAAGGCAACAAATCACATGTTGTTGATTGGGTTTTGATTTCTTATCTCTAGAATTAATTGAAGTAGGATATCATTGTAGAAGCAACATGGACCTTCTCCCATTTCCTTTCGACTTTATTTTGCAATCTTATACTCCATAAATAGGAATTTCACTAAGTTTGGCAGTAAGTCATTTTAGCCTTCAAATATAATTTTTGCTTTTTTTAAATTTGAATTAGTCAAAAATTAAACCATAATCACTGAAATTAAAAGTTCAAACACTCAACAACTGATCTTTATTTAAAAGAGCTGATCCATCCCAATTTTCACCGAGGAGTCATAGTCTAGCTAGTTTAATCAATAATATCATAAGCTAATCCCTGCCTAACTCTAATTAAGATCTGGCCCTAATTAATCAAATCAACTACTAAATCAGTTTATGGTTAAAGTCATTTATATATTCAAAAGTCCAATCCAAGTCCAAAAAGCTACACAATTCATCATTTGACACCTTTTTTTTTTCCAAGTAACCAGACTAAATATAAATAATTTGATCTTGACAAAGTCTTTTGTTTTTTGAAAATGGCTGATAAAAGCTTGATTGGTGCAGGCAAGAAATTGCAATCAAACTATCCATAATTGGAGGGAAGTCTCATTCAATAAAAAAACAACACGTAAGTTCATATACATATATATATATATATATCCTTTGCTGTTTCATTATAACCGGATCTTGTTTGCATTAAAAACCAGCTTAGTTGCTATCAAACCTTAATAGACGGAAAAAAATACAAATGAAATAATGCAAAGATCTGTCCCATAATGCCATATATAACTCTTTGGTATAAAAAAATTGGGTTCATGGACCGACAAATTAGCCAACACAAGACAAATGTCTTTTTTGGTGTTTCCTTTGGGGTATAATTACGTTGGCACACACGTAAGGCAAAACCTTTAATTATGTAAAAGTGGAGATTATTATTTAATTATTATTAATTGAAAAACTTTTTATTAATTTAAAGGAGATATGTCAATTTTACCACTCTAGAATTTGTTCTTTCTCCAATTGTATATTCATCACCCCATACAAGAAAAGAGCCAAAAGTAGTAGGCATAACAAATAATAATCCTTTAGCAAACGTCAATGAATAATGAATAATTATATTTTATGTTTGAAGTTCAAAAGAGGGTTGGAGAGTTCATAAAATGATGATGGCAATGGTAAAAAATTGGTGACGAAAATGATGATGATAATGATGATGATGAGAATGAGGGGGCGAGAGTAGTTTCCTGGAAAGTCACCCTCTTTTCCAGGAAAGTGCTCTCATCATTTTATTGGTCCAACCAAAATTTCAGGCCATCAATTGAAAGAACGAAAGAAAAAAAAATAGTATTTTTTTTAATAAAATGATCAGAAATTTCTTATCATTCATGTTACTGTCCACACCAATCACGATAGCTTGCCTATAACGTATACATGTATTACTTGCAAAGTTGCAAGAACCCCATGACTCAAGACCCTCCACTTGATTAATAATGAAACCTAATAGGTTCCATTATTCTAAGGTGGAATATCTAGCTTTTGGGATTAGATTTGGAATTTTAATCAAAAGGGAATTTGAGAATTGAGGGGCAGGAGAAGAAGCTAAGGGAAAGGAGGGGGGGTCTTTAAGGGTCGTATGTCTGACCCCCATGGAAAATCTCCATAATGAGATTGTGAGAAAAAAAAGGAAAGGGGTGAGCCCTTGGGACATCACGTGGTGTATGACCCACCAGTTCCCTTAAAGAGAGGGCATCTCTCGAGATTATGGGTAGCCCTACAATTTTTCCTCTTTTTTTTTTTTTGCTTTTGAGTGAATCATCCATTCCATTCTTTGTCTACACGCCTCTCACCACCCATTTTTTATTTTTCTTGGCTATCTCTTGCTTTGTAGCCTTTCTCTGCTCTCCTCTCATGTATGAAGACAACCGAATTAAAGACAGATACACGTGAGCTAACCTCCTTCTCCCCACACCCTTTTCCTCTCTCACTTAATCATAACCTCCAACTGATTTATCATTATCACAATTTCTTCTTCATTTGAGACACCCAAAAAGGTGGACACTATTACACCATGAAAGTGGGATGACCCATTTGTACTATTCATTCAAGAATTACTTAATTTTTTATACTACAAATCTATTCAACAAAGATACATAGATAGATATTTATTTATTACTACTAGGAATTTTTTTATTGTAATAGCAGAAACTTGCTAGAATTTTTTTTTTTTGACAAGTGTGTAAGAAGAAGTTTATGAGCAAGTGTGTATGTAAAACACATGGTTGATTTTCAACTTACATGTCCAACAAGATTTCTAACTTCTTAGTATTTGAAAAAGCTTAAAAGGAAAGACAATGTAAACAACCATTATTTTCTTCTATTTTTTATCAAGAACCTTGTACAAATATTGGGGAGATTTTTTCTAGATATTGAAAAAAAAAAAAGTCAAATTGTGTCATCACTCATCAGACAAATTTTAAATCATCTTTTTTTTAATCACTTTCATCCATATCCATATCCATGTGATCAAAGCTATCAATAAAAATTTAAGGGGAAATGATCAAAAAACAAGAAGTCTATCATTAGACAAGGAACAAAAGAATCAATAATAAATACTAACAGCAATCCCTTCATAGATACTATATCTTTCTAATTATTATCATTTACAAACATATATTTAAAAAGATGAGGAGATTGATCAGTAATTATACTATTGATTTTTTTCTACAAAGTAATTAATTACACTAATTTTAATTCACTAAAAGCCCTTTAACCAAAAAATAGAGGGGTTGTGGGTCTATTTTTGTTTTCCTTTCTTTTGCTACTAAGTTTGATCTAACAAACTTAATCAACATGCTGCAGAAGGATTGGTGAAGGGATTATAGAAATGAGGCTTTGAAGCCATTGAAAATGGGTTCTTGGAATTGCCATCGCCAACGCCACCAATTCTTTCGCAAGATGGGCACATGGTGAGAGTAGCTGCTGGCATGTGCATGTAAAAGGGTTGAGCCAGTTTCAGTGCCTTGAGTTCTTGTAGCTCCCTTTGTAGTCTCCTGTTCTCCTCTGTCAGGGTCTCACAACACTTCTTCAAGAACTCACAGTCCACCTCTGTTTGCTTAAGCTTTGTTCTGTTCGAGAAGAAAGCAAAAATTTTCATGATTTGTTCGATAATTAAAAAGTAAAGGCAAAAACTTTCTACATATATCAACGAAAGCCTGCTGCTTTGAAGTACATGTTCCTTGTGCTTTATGCACAGGTTTACTTTGAGCTGAAAATGTTGTTGATAATGTTTCTTTTGGGGTACAAAGAAGCTTTTTCTTTTCGTGCGTCTTTTGGGAAATTTTCCCAGTTATGTTACTGTTTAATTTGTTGTAAAAAAACATTTCTGGATTATGGTTTTAATCGTAAGGATCATAAAAGATGATCAGTTTACCTGGCTCTCCTGTTCTGAAACCATACTTCAACTTGTCTAGGCCTCAGGTTTAACTGCCTTGCTAAAGCTTGCTTTTGCTTCTGTTAGCATAAAATGAAAAGATTAATCAGTAAATTACTATGATAAAACAACTAATTGATCAAACTGATTGAGATAAATATATCAGATAAAAGAATTGGAGAGGGAGACAGCTTACAGGATTGAGAGTGCTATGCTGTTTGAAGCTTTCCTCGAGAAGAGCAGATTGTTCTTTGGAGAGCCTAAGTTTCTTTCTTGCATTAACACCGTCTTCATCTTCATCACTGATTCTAGAGGAATTCTTCTCTACCTCTACTTCTTCGCTGCTAAGGTCTCTCTCCCTCTTGACCCTACCACTAGAAAACGAAGAAATAGCACTATGAGAAGAAGCTTGACGATACAAATCACCGGCGACAGGTTCCTCATGGCGATGAAGATAACCATCAATCTTTTTGCTAGCAGTAACTTGGTAACTCTCACCCGAAAGCCCCAGCGTCAGGAATGGTTCAAAACTAGTCGCTGCCGTAGCTGTTTGTTCAAACTTGAGACATGATGAATTCTTGGGCGTTTGATTGTTGGCCTTAGATGGAGTTTCCAGGGTCGAGGAGAAGCCTAACCTTAGAACAAGGCCTGTATTACACGCATCATCAAGACCCATAAAGCTGAAATTTTTTGTTTACCAATGAAGTTGGTCAGTTTATTTTAATATGTATGCGAGCTGAAGAAGGAAATAAATGAAAGAGAGAAAGAGAGAGGGGAAGAAGAAAGGGGGAGCGGTTTGAAAGATATGAGGGTGCAAAAGGGTCTTAAGAAGGGAAGAGAATGACTAAGACTTTTTAAAGGGGAGAGTTGAGTGGGTGGGTGGCTATGATTATTAATCAAAGGAATTAATTGAGTATAGAAACGAATCTGGGTATGAGAAATTATGAATGCTCCTCCTCCTCTCTCTCTCTCTCTATACAAAGGTTGACCATTTGCACCCCACCACAATTATCTCCATTATATTAACAAATAAACAAGGCAATCTCGCTCTCTCTCTCTCTCTCTCTCTCTCTCTCTCTCTCTCTCTCCTCTCTCTCTCTCTCAAAGCTATAGAAATCCCACAATTCACATGGCGATGGTAAACACATCAAGAGAATGATCCGTCAGCACTTCACCATCCGTTAACGTACCAAATTTAACTATTACGACTACTCTACTATCACTTTTTCTTTTTTTCCAACAGTGGCTGCTTTTTGTGTACGTATATTGTTTTACTTTACATGCTTCAAAATTATTAGCCAACTTTTGCTTTGTTTTTTTACTTATTTCCCAAACATCCTTAATTGTATTTTTCTTCTTTTTATTTATTATTTTTTGTTCAATCTTTCCCAAACTATATATGGGCTATGTTTTTGAATCCATTCAAAGATCACTTATGCTATAAAATTTCTTTTCACAGAAGAAAAGGTTGATAATGTATAGTGATAGTTGCATTAATTTGGGTAATTATTAAAACCGGCTGCCTTAATTTGAAAATTATGATATCAAGAGAGGACAATACATTATTGGATATGAACAAGTTCCCTTTACAACAGACCACATGAACTGTCTCCCACTCCATGCCTGGTTGAACTGGTTAGAGATTGGTATCATGTCACCTTGCTTACCAAATATTGCGCTTGATCCATTCTTTTTTTTTTTTTTAAATAAAGAAGCTGGTGGGCAGTTTTTCCCTTGCTTATTATGAATGTGGAGATTAGAAAAGGATACCCACTATCTCTTATAGCTTGAATGATCATGTGTGGTAGTTTCTTTGTTTTCTTGTTTGTTGTACAGGGAAAAGAAAAGAAAAGAAAGGAAAAGTAGGTAGACACCATTGGGGAGTTTCAAAGAGTTTATAATGGTGCCAGAATATGATCCATGAGCAAGAATCCGGATCTTTGCTTAACTAGAAAGTTGATGTGGAAAGTTTGGGGCCTACTGCTACTGCCCTCCAGTCCTCTCCAATACATTGTTTAAGCACTTCCCAATAATGCTTTGTCGGCTATACTGATTAGAAGTTAGGTCACCCATTAAACATGATTAAAACTCTAAAATAATACAAAACAAAACAAATCCATATATCACGAGATCAACCTTTTGTTAGTTGTTACTGGCTAAACACCCCCCCAAAAAAAACATTTTTTTAAAAATAATTGACATAAAAATTATGGGAATTTTGCTTTCATTCAGGGACTTTGATGGTGTCCCCTGGACCAGCCATTTATCAGAAAGGTGCGGTGCACTTGTTTTCTCTATAGTTTAATATTTTTTTTAAAAAAAATTAATTTTCAGCTTATCAGATTTAACACTTTGGATCAAAAAGTTGTAATAATATTATTATTTTAACTAACCAATAGGAATTTGGCAAGCTATTCTGTTCTCTGATTCGTCAGTTAGATTATGCTTTTTCTTTGTTGATATTCGGATTAGGCTGAATTTTGGTGTGTCCGTATGTGTACGGTGACTGCGTATATTTTAAAAGCCGAGTCAGCCGACGCTAATGAAAGATCCGCCGTTTTGCATTAATAAGATATTTTGTCGAATTTATAGATTCAGTTTTTTTTTTCTCCAAAAATCAATAAAATTGAATAATAAATTAACAAAATTCAATATTAATCCATATTACAGTGCCAAAATTCACCTTTATCTCTTAATTTTATAATGTATGATTTATTTTGTATTTTAAAATATTTTTATTAATTTTTTAATTTTTTAATATGCATAAATATATCTTATTAGCAGTGTTTGAAATAATTTTTATATATATGCTAAAAAAAAAAAAGAAACATGCATGTTTTAAGTATTTTGCTTTAGAAAACTAAAAGGAAATAGCCAACCTAACAACCAAATAACACTTTAGTCTATTCATGAATTACCATTATCCACAATGGAAAAAGGAGAGGAAAATTCTTTGAAAAAATATAGATTAGAGTATAAGCAATCCTTGAATGGGTGCAACAACATAGACCATATTATTAATTTATCATTGCTTGGAAAGAGCTAGTCAACAAAAAGAAAGTCATAGAAATAAAAAAGAAGGTGGACAGGAAAAAGAACAGTTGAATTCTTAGGTCTCAATTTGGTTTTGTGTATAAATCTTGAATGAAGGAATTTTAAAAAAAAAACATTAGGTGTTTTTTTTTTTATATTTCCATTTCTTTTTTATATACAAATTTAAGTAAAAAATTATTGTTTCAGTTATAAATCATAATTTGAACTCATGGTGACTCAAATTGATCTTGAGTTTCAATATTCATTAGCATCCTAATGACATATGAAATGAAGATTTGAATATTAAAAAAATATTTATCTTTTGGGTATAAAAATGATTCTAGAAAAAAGAAGAATTAATTGGCTCATTTTCCTATTGAATGAATGAATTCAAAAAGAAAAAGAAAAAGGAAAAAAAAGAGGAATGGTCTGGTTGGCATTTGCCATGCATTTTCCCTTCACACACTATAAAGCTTAATTATCCAACCAACTACAATAGCTTCCATCCATGGGCTTAGGCCCCTGCCAAGCTAGGTACACTTTCTCATACATTATTGATGCATAGGAAAAATGAAAATATTACTACATTAATTATGATGTGTTTGAAAAGGAAAAATAAAATAGAAAATTCATGCAATTTTTTTGAAAGGGAAATTGTATATACATTCAAATTAGATAGATTTTTTTTTTTGAATCATTAAATGTAATCTAAGCTCTCAACCTATTTAATTAATAGTTTCTTTTTTTTTATAAATATAATTTTAAATTATACGATGAGAGATATATAGAGATAACACATGATTGGATGGCACTTTCTTTTTTTTAAAAAAAAAAAATAGAGATTCAACGCCCACGAATGGACTCACATGTTACATAAAAACAAAGATAATAATTTACAAAAAAAAAAATAAAAAAAGTATGCATGGGTTGAATTTTTAAATTCCAAAAACTTGTTTGACATATGTACATGTTTTATATAATAACGATATATTAAAAAATAAAGAAAATTTTGTAATAATTAAATGAACACGAGACAACATTATAACCATGTTAATTAAATTTAAAATTTTAAAATTAGGAAATGTTTTTAATAAAATATGTGGTAGACCCTTTTTTTTTAACTTAAAATTTTACTTTTTAAAATGATCTTAATATAATTTAAACTCAAATTGTAATCCTAATATAAATCTCAACTTTTCAAAATAAAGAAAGTGGAAAAGAAAGTGGGAATAAAGCCTAATTTCATAGAGTAAAAGATACGTGTAATGGAATTTGGAAAATGTGATCTATCCATAGATTGAATGGCTGAATACCAAAAGCAATCAGATTATTAGCCATTATTTTTGGACCTTAGTAGGTAGACATTGACTTTGACAAAGTTGAGAAAAAAGATAAACAATTATCTATAATAATTTATAAATTAATTAACCAATTAATTAAAAGTGGTATCCCCCAGCCCAACCTTCACTTTGGAGGGGTATGATTGTAAATAATTACACATTCATTATTTTTTTTTTTATAAAAAATCCACTACTTTACTTTAAAAATTAATCAGCATGACCCAAAATCCCATCTATCCGCTAGGTTCAATTTTTTTTTTAGTACAAGTAAAATATTTTTTTTATCGTGTGATCTATTTGATTTAGGTGCTCAAAATAAGAAAAAATAATTATTTAAGTATAATAAAAATAAAAAATTTTATTTAAATAAATTAATAGAATATATGATTTTTTATTATTTTAGCTTAATTTTAATAATTAAAATTTAAATCATAATAAAATTAAATAAAAAATAAAAATTGACATTTAATTAATTATCAGATTAAAGTTGACACATGGCTTGTTGAGATATATTGAGATTTTAAGGGACAAGTCGGGACCACCAATGATTTGATATCATGGGCATGATGATTATGGAGCGTAAAAGATGGCAAGTAAGAATTTGGGAATTTTTTTAAAAAATTTTCCATTGCAATTATTGTATGCTATAGAGTTTCTACATGTTACCATAAGAATTCTCACCACTCTTATTAAATATTAAATATATATTTGACTTAAATATAAAAAACTCTTCAATAAAAATTAAATAATTATTCAAATTTTATTATTATCAATTGATACCTCAATTATATATTTTTATTCAATTAAGTCTTTAAATATGTATTTTTTATTCAATTAAATTCTTTAATATTTATTTTTAATTCCACACAATTAAATATTTAATTAAACGAAACTAGGCATTGATGATTAATTAATTTTTATTTAATTAAAATTCAATAAATTAAATAGATATTTAAAAACTTAATTAATTATAATAAAACAATACATATTTAAATGATTATTTTATTTTAATTGAAAAACTTTGTTATATTTATGCTTATATATTTTATAAGATAAGAATGTTTAGTCGCATAATGAATAACACAAAAATAAATTTCCCACCATCTCGAAGATTTTAACTTGAAATCTAACTTATGTAATATCTCTCTTAACTTAAATAAGTAGTAAGTGTTATAAAAGAGTTTAGATGTTATTATCAAGAAAAATCAGGATATTAAGAATATTTTTATTCCCTCATACTAATTTTTTGTTCATTTTTTTTATGTCTCAAAATAATATTTTTTTAATATTTAGAATTCTTACTTTTTATGGTTTAAAATTATTTTTATAGTTTTTTTTTTTATTTTTGACATTAAAAATCATGAAACTTTAATATTATAAAAAAATTTTAATTTTAATATTAATATATAAATATCAAAATGTTTTTCTTAAATTTTGTAAAAATCAATACAACTCGATCAATTTAAGACATAAGGAGTATAAAATTATAAGTATAAAAAAATTATAATTATAATCAAGTATTATATCATATATTAAAAATAATTAAATCAATTGATAAATTAAAACATAATTAAAAATAATTAAATCAATTAATAAATTAAAACATAATTAGATAAATCCAATATAAAATTGAATCAAATTTATATACAGTAAGATTTAAACTTAAAATCTTAAAATTATAAAGCATCTTT